ACAGGTGACCCAGAGTCACATGAGCCTCCCCTTACATGGCCTTGAGCTTCTTGGTTAGTTACCTTCATCAGCATTTGGCACTCAACGAGTGTTTAAACAAGTGACTGGATGAACTGAGTGGTAGCATGGAAGTCTCTTATATCACTTTCTGCTTTTCAAGGGACATATGAACTGGCCCTCCTTCCTTCTGTGTATTGCCATATTCCTTGATATTATACCACAGCAAAAATTTCCCAGTGCTAAGTAAGATCCACAAGTGGAACTTATCTGTAATTGGATTCTGCTTCATAAATAACCAGGTTACTCAGCTTATTTCATAGAAATCCCTTCTATATCCTGAAATGTGGGCACATGGGAAAAGATGTGTGGGTGCCATTCTAAGACACGTCAGAGGTCGCCATTTTAATGGCAAATATGATATAAATATGTGGGATTAAGGTTCAGAGTTCTCTAAGTATTTTATCAATAGTAAAATTACTTCTACTTAATAGAGGCTGAATCATCACAGGAGAGTCAAATGCAATAAATATCTTCCTTTACATTGAGGTCTGGCTCCACGCCTATAACTCAGTGGCTAGGGCGCCAGGCACATATACCTGGGATGGCAGGTTCAAACCCGGCCCGGACCTGCTAAACAACAGTGACAGCTACAACAATAACAACAAAATAGCCGGGCATTGTGGCAGGTACCTGTAGTCCCAGTTTCTTGGGAGGCTGAGGCGAGAATCGCTTGAGCCCAAGAGTTTGAGATTGCTATGAGTTGTGATGCCACGGCACTATACTGAGGGCTACATAGTGAGACTCTGTCTCAAAAAAACAAAAACAAAAACAAACAAAACACATTGAGGTCTGACTAAAGGGCAAGAGAAGCATCTAGTGAATTTTACCCCATGTGTGTTCAACTTTATGTGTATGTGTGTCTGTGTGTGTGTGGATGTGAATCTGTACATTTATGTGTGTATGTGTTATGAGTATGTAATATGTGGGTGAATGTGGGAGTAGGTAGGTATGTATATACAGTACATATGTGTGTGTATAACTCTGTGTTTGTATATGTGTGTGTTCATATGGGTATATGTAGGTGTGTTTGCATATGTGGCTATGGGCACGTTTGTGATTGTATGTGCTTTTTTTTTGAGATAGAGTCTCACTATGTTGCCCTTGGTAGAGTGCTTTGGCATCACAGCTCACAGCAACTTCAAACTCCTGGGCTTAAGTGATTCTCTTGCCTCAGC